TATCCCAGCAATGGCGAACCTATGGCATGCGTGCCACGGCTGCCACACTGAGCCCTTTCTGCCAGCACGCAAGCCATAAGTCACCAGATCGCTACTCCCCCCTTCCTCCCCCGCAGCCAAACCTCAGCAGGTGGCTGCAACTGCAGTGCTGGTGCCCAAACAGGTGGCGGGTCAGGATCCAGAGCTGCTGCTGCTAGATCCGGAATGGGGTCTTGAGGCACCTCCTTGACACCACCCCATTTTTTCCCAGTTTGGGCATGCAAGCCCAAAAAGGTTCGCCACCACTGCCCTACCCCAAAAACAAACCCTAGTTAAGTGAAGCCCCACCCTCCACCCTTGTGCAGCAACCAGAAGATGACATGACTGTATTTGAATAAATGTAGATAGTTGTACATGAAAAAAAAAACATTCCCTGAAAATAAGCCCTAATACTTTTTTTTTTTTTTTTGGAGCAAAAATTAATATAAGACTCTGTCTTGTTTTCGGGGAAACACGGTATCTTCTTCAATTCTCAAACAATTTAAAGATTTCCCAGGGTGGATTTTTAAGAGGATGGAAAGAGGCAGAAATGATTATGCTATGTTGAACCCCTCTAACTTTCACACAAACAGTTTAGAAAAGACCAAAGAAGTATTTTGCTATGGCTAGTGTGCACCTAAATGGAAAAATGTTTTGCATTTATTTTCCTTATGTTAAAGATGCTGCTTTCTAGTAGCTGGGGGTGGGGAGGTGGGGAGGCAGAAGGGCATGACAATGCATGCAAGCTCCGTCATGTATTATCTTCCTTATCTCATAGATAACTTTATCAAGTTAATTACTTGACCCGGGAGCAGGAAAGAGAAAAGTGATTGCTCCTCTATTGATGCGTAGTGATCCATGGCAATTCTTAACAAGCTCTTTCTCATTAGCCAGCAGGCTATCAAACTATGCATGCATTTTGAAGATAGCAGACTTCTAAATCTACAGCATTGAGTGGAGAAGATTGCACAAATATGTGGTACCTTCTGGAGCCATGACCATGTAAGGTGTCACGCACAAAGTGCAGAAGGAATCTCCTTGGTGTACGTATAAGGAAGAAAGACAATATTCTCAGCTTGTTTTTACTTCAAAGATACTTCATTCTGCACATGGTTTTCTTAACCTTCCTGTAAATTCTGCTGCATTAAAATGTTCCCCAAAGTCTATTTTCTTCTTTTCTTTTATCATTGTGTCTGGGTGGGATCTTCTGTGAATAGGGTTTCTGTAGCACTTGTTGACAAAAAGCAGTCGCTCCCACCTCTAACAGTGCAAAATGGAACACTTGAATCCACAAATAAACAAATTCTGTGCCTGTTCTGAACAATTTTGAAAGCTATAATGATGAAAGTAACCAGCAGTGTGCAAAGGGTGCTAATTTGCCCTAGCCTGTGACATGTTTCCAAAAGATCTAATATCAACAGGAAATGAGACTATTCAGTGAAAGAACAGCAAGAATAATTATTTCTGCACGGAAGTAATACAAATGAAATTGTTTCTGCACAGGTTTCTAAAGAGGCATATGAAATAAATTGCTCTACATTTTAAATATCTTGTCAGAAGCATAATACTAAAAAAATGCTTGCTTTTAATAAATATGAGAAGTCAAAGTCAATAATAGACATGAATTAAATTCAACATGGTTGAATAACAACAACAACAACAACAAACAAAAAATGCTTGCTTTTAATAAATTTGAGAAGTCAAAGTCAATAATAGACATCAATTAAATTCAACATGCTTGAATAACAACAACAACAAACCCCATAATGCTTCTCCTCCACTCCATCAAGGAATCAATCACGTTTAAATTTTAGAAATTTACTCTCTACATATATTTTGTTTAATAATTTCACCAGCAAATATTACATTTGAATCACAATATTTCACACTTTTATTTTTTAAAAAATAGTACTTCTACAGCATCAGCGGGGAGACTGTGTCCACCCAGTTGTTGTTGTTGGATTCCAAGTCCTATCAAGTCCCGATAGCATGGTCAATAGTCAGGGATAATAGGAATTGTAGTTCAAAATTTGAAGGGCACACATTTCCCACTCTTTTTAAAAGCTTCCTGATTCTATATAGCATTCTGATATGAAAAGTATACATTTCAAATAAATAAGTAAATAAATTCTCTTCTTCCTCTAAATGTACTGTACTGTTTCCATGTATAAGTAGTCCCCTCCACTTTTCAAACCCAAAATTAAGAAATCTAAGCAGGGCTTACCAAGTGGAGGGGGAAAGCAGGGATCAAAGCACTGCAACATCGTCTTGATGCCTGCTTTCCCCTTTCTTGCTAAGCCCACTTAGCAAGTGGAGGGGAAAAGAGTGCTGCACAATTGCTTTGATCCCTGCTTTCCCCCTCCTTATATGGAAAGTAAGTGGAAGCAAGAAAGTGGAGGGGAAAAGCAGGGATCAAAGCATTTTGATCCCTACCTTCCCCTTACCCTTTTTTGCCTCTACTTTCTTGGCAAGAAAGTGGAAGGGGAAAGCAGGGATCAAAGTGCCCCATGGGGCTTAGCAAAAAAGGGGAAAGCAAGGATCAAAGTGATCCTGTGGCGCTTTGATCCCTTTCCCCTCCTTACTTCCGTGTATAAGATGACCCCCAAGTTTTAGTCTAAAAATTTTAGACAAAAGTATTGTCTTATGCACAGAAAAATATGGTAAATATAGCTGTTAATTCCATGACAACAGAGAGCACTCCATATTCTCCACAGTGAATCTTAATCTACCATGTCTGACATGGATTCTTGCATTAAGCAGGGGTATGAACTTGATGGTCTTGCAGATTCCTTCAAATTCCATTATTCCATGATCTCGACAGGCTATTTTAACTGTAGTTGTTACAAGAAGGCTCCAAATGTTCTTTTATTACTATCATCTTCTTCACAATCCTACAAAACTGTTAATGGGTTTAATGGTAAAACACATCCTGCAATGTTTCATCAACACCACTCTTTGTTTCTAAAACATACGTATTATATATGGATTTTATCTGACTTTTCTTCTCACATTTCTTTCACCTATTATTAAATGTCTGATACATCTTCCTAAGTTTCACTAGGAATATATACATCACTTAGGAGTAACCAGTTGGCTGGATAGCTCAGTGATTTAGGTGACTGACTGTGAAGGCAGAGTTTGAGAATTTGTTTCCCCACTGTGTATCCGAGAAGAGTCTTTCTGTGTGGCCTTGGGCAAGTGACACAATCCTAAGGTGCGCCCAAAAGAAGGGAATAGTAAACCACTTCTGAGTATTTTCTACCTGGAAAACCTTGAAAAGGTTCAAAATAATTCAGAACGACTTGACAGTACATGATGATGATTATTTTTGATAATAAATTAAAATTAAGATACTGCTTATTTTTTTTGGGGGGGGGAATATATTTTTCAAACACCATATTGCAGGAGTCCTCAAACTTTCTATCCCCAGAACCTCCTTGAGAGGGGTGAAAATGACAGAGATTGGCCAGTCACCAATGGTAGCATGCTGGCAGGGAAAATCACAAAATGGAGGTTTGTGTATGCAGATAGTCACAAAGTGTTTGCAATATACTGTATTTTTCTGTGTATAAGATGCCCCCATGTATAAGACCCCCCCCCCACTTTTCTAACCCAAAATTAAGAAATCTAAATCGGGCTTAGCAAGTGTAGGGGGAAAGGGATCAAAGTGCTGCAGGAACAATTTGATTCCTGCTTTCCCCTCCACTTGGTTTTGTACTCTCCTCAGCTTACTTCCATGTATAAGACGACCCTCAATTTTTAGTCTAAAAATGTTAGACAAAAGTATAGTCTTATACATGGAAAATACGGTAATCAGTTTTCTTTCCTTCACAAATCCTAGTCATATGCCAAGCCAGCATCTTTTGTTCATATGCTGCCTTCAGATGGAGGACAAGGAGAAGTATCAATGGGGGAGAAATAACCAGAATTTTCTGCACAAACTGGACAGTCTCTTGACAGTCCCTATTTGCTATTGGCATCGGCAGCTGAAGACTACACAACTCAAAACAATGCTGTGGTGCACATTATGAATATTACTGCTGTGAGATATAATTTGAAGCTATTCCTTTCTCATTTGAGCCTGCATTATTCTGAAATTGCCCTGTCCACACATAAAGTGTTCCAATATTTATGCAACAAGTCTTTCTGGATTTTAAAACTAGGTTTAAGAATCAAAGTGGATTATATGTTTAGTACATATTTAGAAGAGATGATTAAAGAAATTTATTTGACATAGGACATGATTTCCTTCTCCCATGTATCTTGCATTTAGTGTGCTTTATTTTGCAATTAGCCAATAAAGGTAAATATGAGATTGACAGAATCAGCTATCTTGCAGGCATTGAGCCCAGTGATATACAGAGAAAGGTAGCAGCTAACAGTATCTACATCATATGCACGTCCATTCTTCAGCTAAAATCCCACCCCTCTCAGATTGAAATCAAGGGAAAGTTGTGGGGTTGGGTGTTTTTTTTTGTTTGTTTTTTTTTTTTTTAGATTTTTGAAGAAATGAATGCCAGGATTATGACTGAAACCCTGAAAATGGACGGAACCCCAGGGAAATCTAGCCCTTGTTCATAAGGAGAACTAGTTTACTTGAGATTGCTTAGTAGGTTACAGACTGGAGTTGGGGGAATCAAGATGCACCTTACAAAATGGGGGGAATTTGCTGACAAAATTCTTTTCAAATATGAACAGTTGGCTTCATGTCTATGTCAGTGTACAATATGCCTCTCAACATATACTATGTAAGACTTGATCTTAGATACCCCAAATGCTCCTGATTTTACCTGTTATTGAATGAATTATCTGATAAACTTATCTAAGCTTTACAACCTTTGATGAATTAATTAGTAAATTAATTTGTATTTTATATGTATTTATACCGCACTGCTTAATTTTATATTGCATTCTATTAACTTCATTAATTGATCATAATTGCTACTGACAAGAATGAAAAAAGAATGAAATCTGATTCCTCAGACAAATATCTCTGAGCAAATCTTGAGGTGAAAGGAAAAACATCTTAACTGAAGGAAAAACACATTTCCTTCAACGTCTAATTTGACTCCGTCCATGATGGCCCAAGGGCCTTGCTGGGTTGAAATTTTACATTGCATTTTTGTGTCTGAAAAAAAAGTAACATGGCGTCATGGTACTAAAATGCCTTCCAGAATGGTGAGAGTGTTAGATGTCTAATCACTGCCAAATGAACTTTCTCTTTCCAGACTTTCAGTGTCAGATGAATAATCAGATTTTTCGTGGCTAGCTTGTAGTTTTCTGTTCCTTTGGCAAGAAATATTCCACAACTGAATAGCCTTTTCAGGGTCAAATCTGCTGATATCTGGAGAATTCATCTGAATGACTATGAGATCTGTCATGTTTTCCAACATCAGCTTGGACTGTTTCTGCATCATTGTCACCTTCATTTGACAGAAGCCTCGTGCTGCCTCATCAGAACCTGCAGGCAAGGTCAGGATCAGATCTACAAGCGTCAGGATGTTTGGATATTTATGAAAATAATCTGTGTTCACCAAGTCCCAATTTAAGCTCCGGATGCTTTGATATCTAGAAAGAATAAATATTGCAATTCAGTTTGCTGCTCCTACTCATGTTATTAATTAATTGACACGTCAACAAGACTGTGTTCATGCTAGCCTACCTATTATATAGCTCCACTTTCAACATGTTCCACTCGGTCTCAATTTCATGCACCTTCACATTGGCATGTTCCAGAACTGGCTCATAGTATTTAGTCAAAACAGACACTTCCACCTCACCAAATTCTGTAAGAATTTGAGTGCTAATTAGAGGAAAAATCAACACATTTTGGAAAGCATTTCACAAATCTGTAGTGACTCTGCCAACACTTCGGGTTTTTCTGTACCTGGTTTGATTTTGTCTGGCCACAGTTTAAAACTTCCAATAGTGCTTGCTCTCAAAATCTCTTCACTAGCATCACAAAAACAATCACGCAGCTGGTTCAAAAGATTTCTTAACAATTCTATGCGAACTGCTGATATATTGCCATCTCCCACAAGATGGTAACCGTGGAACTGTGTGATAGTTTCCACCAGACGCTCCCTTGGCCCTGATCTGAAAAATACAACTTTTAAGAAATGTACTGTGTGTATTTGAGTCACATATTACAGATGTGGTATTTATTAATTATATGCAAACCTTGCTTGATACATTTGGAGTATTTCTAGTGTGGACCCAATCGTTGCAAATACATCTGCGATAGAGGAGTTCTGATCCTGAGCAACACGAGACAGAATGTTGAGGACATTGATGACATCCAGCAAGAAATGAGAAAATTTAACAAATTCACTTTTCAGAAGGAGCTGTAAGAAGTCTTTAGCCCTCTGGTGATTTGAAGAATATGGTTCCTGTGTTATCTGGAGCTCAGAAAGAAAAAGAAAAATGTCAATTCAATAAAACTGACCCAAGTTGCAATAACCCAGTTTTTAATTTTTTTAAAAAAATGCAAACATGAATTTAAGGAGTATTTACCTTATTCAAGTGTAGGACAATTGCAGGGTACCCTTTAAGAAAAGTCTGAAGAGCTGTCTGCAGGCGAAGGAGCCACCATGAGCCACCAATTCGGGAAGGAATTGCCTGCCTTAGATTGAGAGCTTCATAAACTACCTTGAGGCTGCTCTTATTCATTGGAGAGTCATGATAAAAATAGTACATGTTTTTCAAGAGGGTTGTGAGAACGATGTACAGCTGAATGCGTTTGAGTGTTGCCTTGTATACCATTTCAAGGCGATGGACAAGACAGTGCACACTTTGGACAGACGGTTGGAGTTCCTTCAGCAGTTTTGCCACTCCCTTTTGTCCCGTCATAACACCTCTGCCATCACTTCCAAAGCCAACCAGCTTTCTTGCCCAGTCTTGGCTTGGCAAATTGATGCGCAGGCTGGTATCTAGCATGTTGACAATGGCATTTTTCACAGCAGAAGCGTCACATTTCTCTACTGAGTGAACTCCAACAACCTGGCAGTGGACCTTCCCTTGGTAAGCAAAGCGTACGTACACAAGGGCAGCTTCTACGACTGTGTCATCTGTCACACCATCACTGATCAGCGAGAAGAACTTGCATTTTTCCAACTTCTCTTTCAAAGCCCTTCGTTCTGCTTCAGCAATAAAATGAATGAAGATTCTTGCTGCCTTGTCATTTCTAAATATGGAACCAATATCCACCCCTTTCATATCATCCAATTTGCATATCCAGTCCAGGTCTGTGAAGGGGCGCCCAGTTTTAGCTATCGCGTGGCACGTTCTGAAGAGGTTTTCTATTCTTCCTAAGGTTTCTTTACTCATGCTCTTTAACATCTGTTCAGTGGTGACTCTGTCTGGGGTGGAACTACTGGCTTCTTCCATACAAGCGGCCCATGCATGAGCTTCGCTGCTGTGATGCTCGCGGACTAATTCAAGGGTGAAATTATCAGTCCCTGAACAGAAGTTGTGTATCTTCTCTTCTAAATCCACATTGTGTTTTCGGCACAATGCACAGTACATTGTGCCTTTGTCACGATCATGCTTTAGCCAAGGATACTGTGACAGCCACATTTGTTGGAACTGCTGGTTCTTCTTTGAATGCTTCCGGTTGCTGGGAGTCACATTTTTGCTTTTAAATTGCTTCAGGGCTGCTATGGCTAGAAGCAGTTTAAATATAACTTCAGCATCACTGTATTTTATCATAGCTATCACATTTCACTATAACATTCATTATAACCCTAACGAATTGCAATGAGGCATGCTAGTCCCCGAGAGTCATAATTTGTCACAGCATTAACATAGACTCTTACTGACCACCACTAAGATCTCTATCTGTGACTTCAAAAGCCTATTAGTAAGCCTTAACAGCCATTGATTAACCCTCACCATGCTGGACCTTTTGCATTTCCACTACATTTCGTCCTTCCATCTTCCGTATGACCGTACAAATGTCTGTCTACTGAGACCTCCTTCCAAGTCCACGAAAGCTTGTGCAAAATGAAACTGGCCTGGATCAGGAGGCCATTTAAACCCAGTACTGTAAAAAAATGACTTGCAGCAGGAAGGCAAGATCCTCTCATTACTTGGAAATACCAAGGACTGAGCCAAAGGATATGGTTTAGTGCAGTGGTTCTTAACCTTGGGTTATTCAGGTGTTTTTG